ACTGGAGTACTAAAGCAACATCCAATACTCACATGACAAGTAGAAAGAGACACCCCCAGAACCTAAACTTATTCTAATCATGCTACCACTGAAGTACCGAAGCAACATTCAATACTCACATGAAATAAGTAAAAGAAAAAACCCTAGCTAGGATCTTGAGAACGTTATAACTACATTTAATGGCAGTCACTATTTTTCAAAAAAAAAAAAAAAAATTAAGCGTGCCTTGTGTCGAGTTCCTCTTTTTTTTTGGCTACCATTACGGTTATGCGCATAAGAGTGCTGATCAAAATAAAGAGCAGTATTACGAGGAATCCTACTTGATAAAACAGATACATTGACATCTCACCTTCCTTCTGCTTGTGGGATCAGATACTGTTCAGGATTGCCAAGGTTGGGTGATATTCTGGGTTAGGTGCATTGATAAAGAATTAGGTCTAAGGTAAATGTCATCGCCATATGTTACCTTTAAGTATTTCGTCAGAAATAAAAAATCATTTTGTCCCAAAAAAAAAGACTTCAGCCGTACCAATTAAGACTAAAATCCTGTAAATAACACGACTCACGTAAACCAACAACTATAAAAGAGACCACCATTCTTTTCCTTTTTCCTTTTTTTTTTTCTTCATTCTTTATCCCTTCTTAAAATTCTCCTATGCTTTTATTATTTCCTATGCTGAAAGAGGTACAATATCATTTGGGGTGATCTCGAAGTACATATAACTAATGTCATCATTTAGAAAATTCACTTTTGCTGGCTCTATTTCATAGTTACTGATGCATCTTACTCTAACATAATGGCCAATCACGGGATAAAGCCTTAAAGAAGTCTCTGCTACTCGCTAATGGTAAGAATGTCTGCCCATGCTTAAAGAATGCTTGCTACTGCTTTTCAATACACTCAAACACTCAAATACCTACAAATGCTTATCATATCTCTGGAAAGATCAGTAAAGGTCTGCTCATGCTTATCAATACCTACAAATGATCACCAGTGCCTGAAAACGCCAGTGAATGCCTGTCCCTTGCTTATCAACGTCGGAAAGCCTCTGAAGAAGTCTGCTGCTAATGAATACTGCCCTGAAGCCACGATAAACATAATCAATCTACTTTGCCACTATCTGCTACACTCTACCAAGCTCTACTACAAGAAAAAAAAAAAGAAGAAGAACAAAAAAAAAATTAACTAGACAGGTCACTGCTTCTCTACGCTTGACCACCTTGATATGCTTCTATTGTTATGACTCTGCCTCTACAGCTAATGAATGGCCTGTAAACCTTCCCTTACTGCTGAGCTCGATGGCTGCAATGCTCCAAAGGTTCAATACTCCGATGTCTCCACGGTCATCACTTCTTTCGAAATGCTTCGTCCCAGGTACTTAGAAGTGCACTCTTTGTACGTTGAAGCACCTTTTTCGTTGAATTTACCGTGGTATGGTTTTGAGATTTGAGATTTGAGCCTGAGTACTTTTTATTCATGGAGGATTTACATCTTGTAGTCTTCTGGCATGCAGTCTATGGTTCTAGTCATCTTGGGTTTGAAAGCTAGCGATAATGTGGCCATCTGGACTTATGGAAAGAAAAAAGAAGAAACCTCTACTTGCTCTCTAAACTTGGCCATCAAAACAAAAATCTCTACTTGTTTAAAGCTCTCTCTCTTCGCTTCTAGAATGGCTTGGAATCAAACTATTACTCACTCAATAAAGCCTTCATTTCGTTACTCTCACACTTGACTTTTTGTTCTTTCATCTTAATAGCTATTTTAATACTCATTCAAGTGGATATGTTTGACTCAAAAAGAAAGGAATAAAGTATTTTTCAGTACAATTCTAAGTTCTGCTATATGCACTCATCAATTTGACTTTGCTCTATTTGCTCTCAAGCTTCCCTAGAATCTGTTAGAAACGAACAGACCTTTAAAAAATAAATGAAATATCTGGGATATAGCCACTGTAAAGCAAACAAGGTCACTGATAAGTTTAATTGATCTTTTACTTTCTGAACTCATCGATAATACAGCAGAGATGTTTGAGGATAGTGCTAGTCTTACCAGTGTAATGTGTGTTGGAGTTTTGCAATAAGCTGCTCTCTAGGTGCAAGTTCCTTTTTGCAAATCTGGAAATTTCTAACTGGGAGATCGTTCTGATCAACGAACTGAGGCTGTAGCTTAGTAACTTGGAGTTGTAGTAGCTTCTAACGTAAGACTGAGGGAATCAAGATCAGCTTGTTTTCTTGTTGGGGCATCTTTTCACTTTTTCATGCTCACTACTACAGAATAAAATTGATTGGTCTAAATAAATACAACCTCGCTTCACATTCAGGTCAAAATATCAAAAGTGGCTTTAATTAATCAAAAATGTCAAAAAGACGTGCGTCCAAAGATGTCTTCGTACCAAATAAACTACCTCGATTAGATAAATGCAACAGTAACATTATTTCACTTTTGCTATCAAGACTCAACGGAAAAGAATTACCCAACAAATTATGTGGATTAGATAATCAATACCAATCTCTTTTTACTCTGCTTCGGCAGACTGTGTCCTCAGGAGAGAGTAACTCTTGTCTATTATATGGAAACAGAGGCACAGGAAAAACTGTTCTTATCAATACTGTTCTCAGAGACTTGCGAAGACTATATCCAGAATTCTGTATTGTCAAATTAAACGGTCTAACAGAGACAACGGATCGATTAGCCCTAAGTGAGATCGCAAGACAGCTAGTCACTGAACAACAACAACAGCAACAACGCTCATTTGTAATATAAAACACATCACTTTGGAATCAATGCTAACTCTTTTTTATATTCTTTTTAGACCTCTTTTGCAGATTCACTCGAATATATATTGTCTTTACTTAAATCAGGCACTAAGACTTCATTACCTGTTATATTCATCCTAGACGAATTTGACTTGTTTGCTCAACAACCAAAACAGACACTCTTGTACAATCTATTTGACGCTGCTCAAAGTGCACAAAATCCAATGGCAGTCATTGGTTTAACCTGTCGTCTGGACGCACTTGATCTATTAGAAAAGCGCGTCAAGTCTAGGTTCTCTCACCGACAGATTTATCTATTTCCTACTTCAACACTAGACGAGTTTATGAATATGACCAAGCAAACATTTATCATTCCTAAACATATTGAAGGTCATGAAAGCTTTAATCAGTCAGTAGAAGAGCTTTTCAAGAATCCAGCCTTGGGCAATATTGTGAAAAAGATATATGAAGTGACTAAAGATATTCGTCTATTTCATAAAATAGCTGTAAGTCATTATGATTATGGTTATTGTCACATATAAAAACCCTATTTTTTTATAGTATCAACCTGTCATAAAACTATCTAGTCAACCGCATTTACTAGCACAAGATTTTGTAGAGTCTAACCTCACACAAAGAGCAGATGCAAAGACAGAGCTACTAAGAGATATTGCCCTATTGGAACTCATTTTGATCATTAGTATGAAAAAGCTTGTGGAGAAAGAAATAACAACATTTAACTTTCAAATGGTCTATGACGAGTATAAAGAATTTATGAACAGAACGCAATTGAAGGGACTAGGTTTTGGTATGAAGCTTTACAAACGTGCAGTGGCTCTCAAGGTAAATAACAAGTATTTGTAAAGGGCTTTTTCTAAGGGATAAAATAGGCATTTGAAAATCTACAACTGTTCGAGTTGATCTATCCTGTCGAATCATCAGGAAAATGTCCCAAAGAGTATCGTATGGTAAAACTCATGTTAGAAAGAGCTCAAATTACAGAAGCTGTCCTCAAGTATGATTGTCCCAGCATCATCAAGAAATGGGGCACAGGCGGTCTCTAATTCTTTTACTTTGTTTACAAAAAGTGTCTAGTTTAATCTCCATTCTACAATAGCATCTCTCAATTCTTTATATTCAGGACCATTGATGTCATCTATAGCATTAAAGCATAAATACATAAACATGATGATAATTATATAGGAATATACCTGAAGTATAAGTGCCACCCTTTAAACCATATGTTTTGACAAGGTAATCCCATAACTCTGGAGTGACAATAGAGAATCCACCCTTGAAGGATCCACGTGGTCGTGAATGGGGGTTGAGTTTACCGGGATTTTCGGGATCTTCCAAACTGTCATTCGCCACTGGGCCCTCACCTAATTTACCATCGCATAAACGCAGAAACCACGAGCACATCCATAATCTGTCTACGAAATAGTATCTTTCTTTTGTTAAGACCGCATAACGATCGGCTTGCTCGGTATAGAGTACGCGTTCTTGCATGCATCGATTTCTATTTCTCATTGCTTCTCTACCTTTCTCACTATCATGGGTCAATGCCTCTAACAACAGATTGACGTAATAGGCTTCACTAGCATCTCCTCGCATTTCACCCAGCTATAAAATACGATGAGTAGACAGATCTATCAGTTGCTTAGGGTGATCATTACCAGTCTGTTACAATCAAAGCAATAAAGTTGTAATACGTTCATTCGAATCAAGATACCATGTCCTTCCACTGCTTTATGAAAACTATAGGCACAATCCTTACAGCCTAGTCAAAAAATTAGCTGATTGTCATCCTTTTTTTTTGGTGTGATACACTTACGATTTCTAGTATTTCCCTTCCAGATGTAGAGACACAATCCACTGTCCTTACAGTTTGAACCACACGTTGTACAGTTTAGGTTTTTTGGCAACCAGTTGAGCACCTGCTGATACTTTGCTGCATAGGGCTTCAATATCTGTCCATTCACGTATCCAATATGAGGACATATTCTATAATTTTTCGGATCCTCACTCTTACGCTCATACATGTCCTTCCAACTTTCCTCAGGAAGTTTATAGGTTACACCGTATGTGTTATAGAGTTGTTCTTTCCAAACAGCATCACTATGAGCTATGATTGCAAATCGATGGCAGACTTGTGAAAAGGTTTTTAAATCTTTCAAAGGTAAATGACCAGCAATGCAAGTTAGCAATTCACTATTGATTTCTGACAAAAGCATCTGGGTTGAATGTTGGTTAAATGAAGCAAAATATTTTCCTTGACATTAAATAATTTTGACCGCAGCGAAAAACTAACTAGCAATGTAGTAGCACGCTGTGACGCCTATTGGCTTTTTAGGTAAAAGCTCCCATTAAAAAAATAGAGTGAAGGCAAACGTACGGTGGACAAGTGTAAACAAATGTTCAGTATTGTTCATATTTCAGCGTCTATTGTTTTTATTTTAAGTGTCTATCTATCAATATTTTGCATTAAGTAAAAACATTCTACTAAAGACAAGCAAGCCAGGTGGAATAGTGATCTGTCCAGACTGTTGATTCTGAGTTACTGCAAGCCAATATTTCAAAGCACGTCTCATTTGCTCTTCAGACTCGTTCAAAGAACGCATACCACGTTCTTCAACTGCAGTGCTTAATTCTTTAATATCCAAATTGTCAATGCCCTCTTTAGCAAGAAGCTATTTTGAATAAGTCTCTGTTGGTATATACACTATCTCTTTAATCTTACTTTATCATCCTTTTCTATATAATTCATATATTTTGCAAGTCTTTTCTTAAGTATTCCCTGAGTACCATAGTCATTCAAACCCATAAATCTAATACGGTTGTTAGCTATGTACTACTGATACTGTTGCTTCATTATATACCTGCAGTAAGCAGAGAGATGTCTTCTATCGATACGGCTTAAATCAAAGTCATATGCATAGTGCTTAGCAATGCGTTGAAACTTGGGAAGAGATAAAAAGTCCTCAGGTGTAATCTGGATAAATGCATAAGCCATGCTGTTTACTACACACAAATAGAGTTTTTACCCCTTGAACTTGTTCTGCAGATTTTAATACGTTCATTGTCATCTTTTGTCGCACTTTATCCAATTTTTCTCGTTGTTTTTGCTACAAAAACAATTAATTCACAAACTTTACTTTTCTATTATCCTGATTTTACATACAATTTGACTGTCCTTTAAACAAGTGCTTGGGATCATGGCTGGTACATAAATAACAAGTAAGGGAATCTACACAGTATAAAATTAGCAACACAATCTTGTCGTTTTTTCTTTTCTTTACAGATTCAGGAAGAATACAGAAAATGATACCAAAGGGAATAAGCTTGATGATATCCTTTTGAGCCCGATGAATCAATTGAAATTCAGATCGACTTAGTTCATAACCTTCATTCTGAACCTTTAACTGCAATGCTTTAGCTTCTTTGTGGTTCGACCAAAGAAGTTTGATGCCGTCCTTGTAAAATTTAACCAATTCCTTTGACTGTTGAATCAACTTGCCGATTCGAGATGTAGGTTGATTTGCAACTGCCTCGTTCGTTTCGTTCAAGAGAGACTTATTTTCAGTTTGTAACTGATTATAACGTACATATCCGTATGAAAAGTGTCTGACAGGCTGATATCTAGGTAATGGCTTGATAATAACTGCAGCACGACTAGATGGGAAAGAGTAGCCAGTTGTCAATGGTCTATGATATGGTTAGTTTGAGTCATGTTGATATCGTGCTATTTATACCTTTTAACAGGAAAAGATCGTCTCACGATGTTGAAAGACATTACTGATTTCTCAACGGTAAGAAGACGTAAAAAAGAGAAAAAGGGGGAGATTGTTTATATTTGGGTGATTTACCGGCGCAACACTCCGCAGATTATTTTTCAGTTACCAGTTTATGAGTCAAATCATGAATGTACAGATAAAACATTATTATGAGTCAAAGATTTAAGAGATCCATGCTCTGTCATGTGAAGCAAGGTTAATATTAAGTGATATAGTCCCCTGATAAATTGATTTTACTATCTTCAAGGGCTGAACTGGTGAGAGTGATAACTATACCAATCAAACAGAGAAAAAATTAAAGAGACAGGTAAGCAGTCGTCACGTAGCATCGACTTCTTCTCTCTCTCTTCTCGACTATGACTACTCCTCAACAACATCGAATTAATCCACTTGGCAACTACCACCACTGGCCTGCTTGTTAGGATAATTTGATCCCATGTACCAGCACCCTCAGTCGCGTCATTTGTGGATATAAATGAAACCTATCTTACAGGCAAGTGCATTGAATAAAACCAATACCATAGTAGCTACATTTGCATATTCTTCTTAGACCTTAGCGACAATGATATACCTCATTCTTACCCTTTGTGATCCATCCTCTTCTAAAAAATAAAAACAAATACTTTAGACAATGTTCGTTTCCAATCTCAGACTGCCAATCACTTTAGCTTAAGCCATTGGAAGCCAGTCTATAGGAAAGTGTTACACATCAAGCATCATGCAACAATAGAAAAAAGGAACATATGAAAACAGGGAATGGATTAAAGTAACGAGCACAGCTCTCAAAATTTACACAATTTATATAAACAAACCCGTGCATTTATTAAATCCCAATAACTTTAGATGAGAGTTTCATAAGGAATAGGAGCGATGGTTTGAGGAACATTCTTCTTGGTGGAGACATGACGAGCTTCACGAGGTTGAGCAGGGATTCTCTTGAGGTTGAATGTAACTAGGAAAGAAAATTAATAAATAATATACAATATACATACACAGCGATACATACCACCAGCAGCCTTGGCTTCCTTCTTCTTTTGAGCGTTGAGCTTAACACGGTCCAAGAATTCTTGACGACACTTGGAGTGCTTGATGTGTTCAACACGGACATTGACACGCTTTTCCATGTAACGGCTACCGACAACCTTGTAAACGATGACACCAACGGAAGACTTGGTAACATTGTAGATGACACCAGTACGACTAATAGTCAAATATTAATACATATTACCCAGACACAGGTATATATTACTTACCCATGGTAGAACTTGTGAGGCATACCCTTTTGGACGGCAGCGTTGGCCTTGATGTCAACAATGTCACCAACCTTGTAGGTCTTCAAGTAGGTGCTAAGAGGGATGGTGCCATGCTCTCTGAAGTTACGAGAGAACATATGGCGAGTACGAGCACGGACTATAATGATAATAATTATGTTGGTGGGTTGACACATTCTTTTAAAGCTGATTTCCACATGAAATACTTACGACCAAAAGAGTGAGGCATTCTGTTGAATAGACAAACAAACAAAAAAAAAGTGTTAGAGGCTTAAAGACTAGACCAAGTGCAAAGTGTAAGTTTACCTGTCAAAGTTTGCACAAAATCAAAGAGAAAGAGAAAGCCCTATAATGGGCAAGGCAACCTACCTTTTGTCACCCCCCACACACAGGCAGTGTGCGGCTATTCGCTGAGAGTTTGTCTTTAATTGAAAAATTTTTTTAACCCAACAAGTCACGTTTTGGCACCAAGCCATCCAAGGTTTCGAACAGGGCAAAAAAAGTAACAAAATTTTTTGAAGAAATAATTTCTTCCTCTTTCACACAATGGCTGGTACCGTCAGAAACTGTCGTAAAACTTCCACCGTCCCCAAGCGTCCTTTCGAGTCTGCTCGTCTTGACCAAGAACTCAAGTTGATTGGTGAATATGGTCTCAAGAACAAGAGAGAAATCTGGAGAGTTGGTTACACTCTTTCCAAGATTCGTCGTGCTGCTCGTGAACTTTTAAAGTTGGATGAAAAGGACCCTCGTCGTCTCTTTGAAGGTAACGCCTTGATCCGTCGTCTTCTCCGTATTGGTGTCCTCGACGAAAGCCGTATGAAGCTCGATTACGTTCTTGCCCTCAAGATTGAAGATTTCTTGGAACGTCGTCTCCAAACCCAAGTCTTCAAGTTGGGTCTTGCCAAGTCTATTCACCACGCCCGTGTCTTGATCCGTCAACGTCACATCCGTGTTGGTAAGCAAATCGTCAATGTTCCTTCTTTCATTGTCCGTTTGGATTCTCAAAAGCACATCGATTTTGCTTTGACTTCTCCCTATGGTGGTGGTCGTGCCGGTCGTGTCAAGAGAAAGAGAGCCAATGCTGGTAGCGGTGAAGCTGCTGAAGAAGAAGATGAGGAATAAATGATTTCGCTTTGCATACATTTGTTCTTTAATAAATACACTCCCAGTCAATTTGACATACAGCTGAATTCATCGTTTGTTTTGGATATACAATGTATTTCAATGTGTATATTTGGAGCATTGATTTGTAGAAGTGTGCATGGATCAGAGAGTCTTATTGTGCCTGTATTTATTTTGGCTGTTCAAACACTGATTGTGCCTTAATTTTATTGAGTTTTTATGCACGTGATCTCCTGCGAACCCACTGTTTGTTATCGCATTGATCTTTTCTATATATTCTTGATAAGCACAATACAGTAATGAAGTTAGATTTAAAAGTGTTGTCAAACTGTTTATAAAGAAAAAAAAAAACGTTCTTTTGATATAATCAAGAAACATAAATTTTAAACACTTTCTTGTATGACTTTTGTTCATGGTTTTAACCCTTTGTCAATATGCATTCGAATAATACCAAGAGCTTCCTTTTTTCTTTTTTTTTTTTTCTTTTATAAAAGAATACTCCATTCATTGACTATGTGTGGAGTAAACCATGTCTCAGAGACGATTAAACAAACACAGAGATCTAGACTTTTGAACCGATGGGGATTTTGAGTTTACTTTACGTAATTTAGTGTCATTATAGAAAAAGTACGCATCGCTCTTTATAAGTCGTGTTCATTATGATTTGAATGGTTTGAACCATTTTAGTCGAATTATTTATTTCTGCATATATTACGCAAATCCACATTGTTAAAAGTGATTGTATTGGCCAATACGCTATTGTTATTATTGCTATTGTTATGCAGACACCTTAGCTGTCATTTATCTTCCATCCACTATTCAAACTGAGTATCATTGTGTTTCATGTTTACTTCATTCATGCATCAATAACACGCAATAAACTCGTTTTTTTTACTAGTCGCTGATTTATTTAAGCCTTATATAAAGAAGGCGAGGTCTTCACTTTAAATGTATCGCTTTTCTTTACCTTTTATCAAGAAACAAATTGCAAAAATGTCTTCTCAAAACAGTAACCCCGGAAACTTTGCTAACCGCCCCAAAGAAGAAGTAAGAAACATTGCCTCCAAAGGTGGTCAATCCGGTCATGCCAACAAGGGCTTTGCTAGTATGGATCCCGATAAGCAGGTAAGTTGAATAATAACTAAAGGCAAACTTGTATTAAAAATAAATATAGCGTGAAATCGCCTCCAAAGGTGGACAATCTAGTCACTCTGGTGGATTCGCCAGCATGGATCCCGACAAACAAGTAAGTAGACAAAAAAGAAAGCTTGGGGAGAACTTTTCTTAATCTTGTACTTGCTTGCAGCGTGAAATCGCCTCCAAGGGTGGACACTCCAGTCACTCTGGTGGTTTTGCTAGCATGGATCCTGAAAAGCAAGTAAGTACAAGATGATATGAATTCCTTATGCATACGTGTGTCTGACATGAATATCTTCTAGCGTGAAATTGCTTCCAAAGGTGGTAAGGCCTCTGGTGGCAGCTTTACTCAAGGTAGTGAACGCGCAAAAGAAGCTGGTCGCAAAGGAGGCAAGGCTTCTGGTCATAGCCACGAACAAGAAACTGATTAAGCTTAGTCATTCACTTTCTGTACAAATTTGTGTAAATAGCACTTGTTAAATAAATATTTCTGTAAATGTGCTGTTGTAAAAAAAAGTTATGTGGTAGCTTGAAGGTTGCTTATGCTCGATAGCATACATTGCGTTAACATAAAATATGAAGCTAAATATGCGTCATCCATGACATCAATAAAAAAAAAAGCATGATTTATTGTATACTTGTCCATTAAGTCTTTATGCACAATAAACCCAAGATAAAAGATTTAGTAATAAAATATAAAACACACAAAAAACTAATTTATACAAAGGAGAAGTTGGGGGAGGATATTAAAGTAAGATAGCAAGATTAAAAGATATATAAATATAAATGATGTAAAAAAATAATTAAAGTGCAAAAAACTGTTCTCCATACTTTTCACCTCGTTTACCTCTAATCTTAATACGCAAATCATAAATCAAATCATTCCATTCACGCCATAAGGATCGTTTTCCAAACAAGATAAAGAGCCAACAGCCAATGAGACCTGCTAATGCATCTGCTGTGACCATAAGAGGGAAGGATGGCAAGCTTGATTTAAGTATTTCATAGCACGTATTTTGACTGTTACCAGGTGTAAGCATACATTGAAGCCAGGACTGGGTTAGAGTGCCTTCTGCTTGTGTTGTTGCTATACGATTGACTTGAGTCATGTAAGCCAGCTTTTTAAAATAGTTAATGCATGGTTTTTCATTTTTTAGAAGTACCTTACCCAATAAAACAGAATTGTCACAATGGCTACAACAGCCAGTAGTAAAGCTCTCCATTGTATCTTGACTGCCACTACCAGATGACGATGACTCACGCCCTGAGGACGTTCAGAGACATTCCCTGTTGATAATGATTGAGACATATCCGATTCTAATCCTTCGCGTATGGCCACTGTTGCAATGTAAAAGAAAGTGCCAATGTGGATGAGAAAACTGGGGCAGATGATGGCAGCCAAAGGATAAAAATACAATTTAAAAACGTATTCCATCTTTACAAGGCAAAGACTAGCAAATTCAAATTTGAGAGAATGCAGTCCGAGAGCAATGCATGTGATGACAGTAGGAATGCCCCAGCAGATGATGTTGAGTAAGAGATACTTGTCTACAAAGAAGTTTGACTTCCATACAGTGTGAACATGAAGATTTAGAATGAGTGCACAGCACCAAAATGTTGTAGCAAACGAGGAAAAGACAAGTATTGCGCCTATTTAAAATGATAAATACAGGTACATTCATTAGTAAAAACGGACTCACCTTGAGCGGCACAAAGCGCGTTGTTGCCCATTTCACCGGGGGTAACACCATTTGCTGAGCACTGTAATCTTTCTGGATTACCAATTGAAAAGAACGATGTCATACTGAAAAAGAAAATACTGAGTGCCAAGTTGAGAATGAGTAGTGAGGGATGTCTGATGGATATATGTGTGTCAGTATCCTCTCTTTTCTTTGCCATATAACTTGGCTTACCTTCGTTTATCAGGCAGAACCAAGTAGCTTATACATAGAATTGCCGACAGAACGGCGGAAACGAATCGGATAGCGTTTGTAGCTGTGAATCCTTTCTTGGCCCAGCCATCTTTATAAAACTACAAATACACGTGTCAATGATGAAACTCTAGCTTTAAGTGTTACTTACAAGATTTTGGGCAGGACAAGGAATACAACATCCAAATTGACAGAACTTTGGGTCCAATGTCTTGCCTTCACCTGTACCGGCTAATGTATCCTTTACAAAAGGAGCAGGACACTGTTGTATGATAAAGTCTGATGGAGCAGCAGAAATATTAAGTTTTCCTTGATCGACTTGCTGTGGTGTCACTGTTACAATAAGATATTAGATGACTGACTTTTTAGTGCCTCTTTTTTTTAATGTACTTTTTGATTGAATATTGTTACAAGAGTTGTCAGGCTGTAAAGGGCTTCCGACACTTGTTGTTTCTGTTGTGCAGTTGGGTAATAATTGTGCATATCCAGCCATCTTGAAGAGACCAGCACATGCAGCATTGGCTTCTTCACATGAAGATAGACAGGCGGTATACACACTTGTTTCTATTAAAAGAGAGATAAGGCTAGGACGCGTTTTAGATGTCTAAAGTTAATAGTTACGATTAGAGGATGTTTGGCATTTAGGATATGCTTTTGAGCAAATATAGCGAGAAAAGGCATCAAAACAGACAGGACTGACTAGACCAAACTCTGCTCCTAGTTGCTTATACTGTTGTAGACTGGCTTCGACTGTTTCAAGAGTGGTTCCATTTGGTAAAAATACGTTATAATCTATGAAATTCTAAAGAGTTATACATGTTAATAAAGGGCAAATGGAACATGAATATTTAAAACATACTGAACAACTCGCGTTTGCTGGGTATCTTGTACATGTCCCTGAGGCTAAGGAAAAAAAAAAGAAAAAGGGTCAATAAGAGTAACACAAGCGATTGAATCTTACTAATAGCAGGTGAAGCTATTATAAAGGGGACAAAGGAAAGAATGAACAGAATGATAAACATGTTGGTTTAATAAAATATATGAAATAATAATTAAATAAAGGATAAAAAAGAAGAAAGAAAAAGGGAAAGAAATGGGATTACAAAGACACATATGTTGTTCTCACAATGTAAATTTATAGAATGGATCTTATTTAATAAAGTCGTACAGTGGAGATAATGTTTGTAAAACAAGGGCGAATACAGTCTTTATTGTGTAGCAGAGGCAGAATTCTCTCCGTTTTGAATTGATTCGTTTGATAATTTGATTTCATCTGATACTATATTGATCACTTCTACTGCTTCTGGTCTATTATTGTTGCTTAAATAAGATCCAAACACATTCTTTACTTTATCTATGCCTTCAATAATCAATGGCTTCTTTATGTTGTAGCTTTCAATGTCATGGTGATACCTATGATCATATTACATTTTTTTGCCTTTTTTATATTGGATACACAAATACACTTACTGTGCACAATCAAAATCCCATGTTGACCTCCACTTTCCTTTTTCACACAGCGATTGTGTCCAAGGTTCACCATATGTAATGGGTATAAAGCATCGATAAACATAGATAACCATCAAGATCCATACTCCAGCAGCCATCAATCGCTTTCGATTTACTAAACGAATCGTCAGCAAATCAAATCCTACGGCAAAGAGCAAAATTGAGAAATAGAGTGCAGGCATATAGTGATGCAAGAACAGCTGTCTCCCCATTAGGAAAAAGGGCGCATAGTGAAAAAACCAGCCTATGAGGAAGAATCCAGCTGATTCATCATAATGTTTTCTTAACTCTAAGTCGTCGTGTATCAGTTTCATTTTTCCCATTCATTTTAAAAACTTAATTACCTCCAAAGTCCTTTTGAATACCTCTCTTGTCTAAGAGAAGAAAAACGGCCTTCACGATAAGACAAACAAAGATGGAACAAGTAGCAGACCAATAGACGAGTGGATTACCCAACAGATAGATGTGCAATTTGTCCTTGGACCAAAAGTTAATTCCTCGTCGCAGCAATGGCCAAGACTAAAACAGTAACAGGAGTTACACCTAATTAAGGTACAACCTTATTAACATACCTCTGGCCTTGAATCATAAGGATGCGATGAGGTCAGGCCTTTGTTTGTATCCCACATCACTTTGTTTAATTCGACAAATTTGGCAAAAAAGCCGGGCTTATTATAAGTTACTTTTTCTGTCTCGGGTGGCACTAGAATTAAAAAGTGTCAATGCCCAATAGATCGCCCATGAATACTATATTTGTATATCTTACGCATTGGGTTTTCCGTAGTCTCTACATACCACAAGGTCTTTGGTACTTTGCCTCCTTTGATACATGTTACCTCTTGTTGATCGAAACCCCACTCTGGTAATTTAACAGTATGTGAAAAGAGATGGCATCCTGTTATGACATGAACCAGACGAAACTTGGTATGGATCGTTCTTATTCGCTCCTTTGACACCGGGTCACGTTTATCACCTTCTACAATTTCTACTCTCCAATTATCATTGGCATCTCCGGTGAAATTCTCAAATCCATAAGCACTAAAGTTTCAATAAATTAACCTCCAGTTCATTAATATCGTTCTCCCCTTGTACCTCACTTCATTATGATACTCCAAATCAGTCATAGGCGGTCTTATATCGTGTGAATGTAATCTCTTGACGGAGTCAGAATGTTTTAAGGTAACAATATCGCCATGCTTGATGTATTCAATTTCCTTTGTTTCTTCATCATCTACTTTTCTAAATGTCCACCAATTATTATCGTCACGGTGAGGATAAAGTGTCACCTGTTGTTCTAAAACCACTCTATTAGATACTATCTTTTATATCTGTCACCGTGCTTACGTTTGCTGCCCCCAGGATAATTGTGTGGATGTGAATGAAGATATCCTCCTCTGGTAGCCACATGTCGGATGAATACTTTAGATTCATATGCAATATCTAGAGACAATATATGAGTATTATAACGTAAGCATATACTGATCATTACCAATAGGTGACTGAATATGAGTATGTCCATCCAGTGTCTGCTGAAATTCGGGTGTCATGAATCCGTCACCTTCACCACTGTTGGGTAATGAATGAAAGTGAATTGCAAACATCATCATGTAAAGGCTGATAGGCAATACAATCAAACAAAGTGCTCTCGCTCCAAAATGTCTCATAAAAACATACTGTTCATAGAAATAAAAGAATCAGTCCATCTATTTCCTCTTATACTTGTTGTTCTTACTTTTGATATGCGTGTATTTCCCCAAAGCTCCCACAAATTCTTGACGGTTGATGTACCGATGGTTGCAATCGTAAATAATCCCACCCACTTACAGCTGACCGTAAGTCCTAATCCTGCACCTGTGGCTGCTAGCCAAAAATACCACCAAAATTGAAACGGTCTACGCTTTTGGTTAAAGAAATAGGTCCATGCTAGTGTTGTGATTGAGGTAAAGAATAAAAGAGGTGGGTCCAGTAAAATGAGTCGATTGTTTGCGATCAATCCATTTTCTATTTTTAGGTGTTTACTATATCCGTTTCTATCTTTTTCTTTTTACGACTTACCATAACACACCATGAGAGCAGCAACTAATCCAGCAGCAATTGAATGACCAGCACCACGTATTGTAAGATAGGCGATAGGAACAACGAGTAATCCTGTGAGACCACAAAATACTCGCATTGGGATATATGGAACATTGTCCGCAAGATAATCCCTATGTAAAATAGTCAGCATCACTCCCCTCCTCTCTTTTCGTATATCTTGTTTTTATCTCTCTCTTACTTTCCAATGTCTTTAAAGTCAAAGTCTTTTAAGCCTGCTAATTTACCCACAAGAGCAATCAACATTTTTGCCAACTACAATTCATGCATCAAACAAAAGGTTAATATCCACAATCTATTCATCAATTTAAACTTACGGGTGGATGCACATCCATAAAAAACCGCGTCTTGATATATTTAGTAGCAAATCCACCAAAATGAACCTCATCAAAGCTATTCACTATTAGTAAGATAAATAAAAAAAGTGGACTGATATCTTACACAACAGAAGGTGGTTGCCATATTTTCCAAAGTCGAATATAAGCTGCCCAAAGCGTCAAGCCCAAGGCAATATATAAATCACGTTTAAGAGCCTGTTTTCTCATGAGTTCTTTCCGTTGCTTAATCTTGTCTGTTTTTGACAAGTCAAAGTCTTCTGAATCGTAATCGCTGTGTTCTGGTCGTTTTATGTTTCGTTTACGAAAGTTGGTATTGGCTAATCCTGTAGAGTAGCCTGAGCCTTCCACACCTATAGGAACAGGTATATGATCTTGATATCGTTCTGATGAAGAAGATTGACTTGGTATAAAGTCCATGAAACAATAAAAAGAAAAGAAAAGAAAAATCAATTTTTAACTCCTCTTTCTCTACATTCACTTTCCCCCGTGTATCTCGTCTTGCCCTACCTTCCTTTGTTCTGCCCCCAAGAATCATCAGTTTAGAGTGATGCATAAATATCATTCATATATAAATTCCTTGAAGGAATATTCATAATAATGATGCGTGTTATGCAAGTAAACATATGGACCTGCAGAAAGTATCAAAGATTCAAATCCGACAGTTAGTCTTTTTTTCTATTTTAGGGACTTGCAAAAAGACCACCAAAACAAAACAAAAAAAAGTATTTTGATTCCCTCAGTCTTACGTTAGAAGCTACTACAGCTCCAAGTTACTAAGCTACAGCCTCGGTTCGTTGATCAGAACGATCTCCCAGTTAGAAATTTCCAGATTTGCAAAAAGGAACTTGCACCTAGAGAGCAGCTTATTGCAAAACTCCAACACACATTACACTGGTAAGACTAGCACTATCCTCAAACATCTCTGCTGTATTATCGATGAGCTCAGAAAGTAAAAGATCAATTAAACTTATCAGTGACCTTGTTTGCTTTACAGTGGCTATATCCCAGATATTTCATTTATTTTTTAAAGGTCTGTTCGTTTCTAACAGATTCTAGGGAAGCTTGAGAGCAAATAGAGCAAAGTCAAATTGATGAGTGCATATAGCAGAACTTAGAATTGTACTGAAAAATACTTTATTCCTTTCTTTTTGAGTCAAACATATCCACTTGAATGAGTATTAAAATAGCTATTAAGATGAAAGAACAAAAAGTCAAGTGTGAGAGTAACGAAATGAAGGCTTTATTGAGTGAGTAATAGTTTGATTCCAAGCCATTCTAGAAGCGAAGAGAGAGAGCTTTAAACAAGTAGAGATTTTTGTTTTGATGGCCAAGTTTAGAGAGCAAGTAGAGGTTTCTTCTTTTTTCTTTCCATAAGTCCAGATGGCCACATTATCGCTAGCTTTCAAACCCAAGATGACTAGAACCATAGACTGCATGCCAGAAGACTACAAGATGTAAATCCTCCATGAATAAAAAGTACTCAGGCTCAAATCTCAAATCTCAAAACCATACCACGGTAAATTCAACGAAAAAGGTGCTTCAACGTACAAAGAGTGCACTTCTAAGTACCTGGGACGAAGCATTTCGAAAGAAGTGATGACCGTGGAGACATCGGAGTATTGAACCTTTGGAGCATTGCAGCCATCGAGCTCAGCAGTAAGGGAAGGTTTACAGGCCATTCATTAGCTGTAGAGGCAGAGTCATAACAATAGAAGCATATCAAGGTGGTCAAGCGTAGAGAAGCAGTGACCTGTCTAGTTAATTTTTTTTTTGTTCTTCTTCTTTTTTTTTTTCTTGTAGTAGAGCTTGGTAGAGTGTAGCAGATAGTGGCAAAGTAGATTGATTATGTTTATCGTGGCTTCAGGGCAGTATTCATTAGCAGCAGACTTCTTCAGAGGCTTTCCGACGTTGATAAGCAAGGGACAGGCATTCACTGGCGTTTTCAGGCACTGGTGATCATTTGTAGGTATTGATAAGCATGAGCAGACCTTTACTGATCTTTCCAGAGATATGATAAGCATTTGTAGGTATTTGAGTGTTTGAGTGTATTGAAAAGCAGTAGCAAGCGTTCTTTGAGCATGGGCAGGCGTTCTTAGCATTAGCAAGTAACAGAGACCTCTTTAAGGCTTTATCCCGTGATTGGCCATTATGTTAGAGTAAGAGCAGCTAACCATGCTGATTTGGTCTTCAAATATTTGACACACGAGCTTGGATGTGTTGAAATTGGCTTGCATAACAAAGGCCCAACAGGAACAAAAGAGTTACAAGAGTTCGAGATCAGAATGCCACTAATGTTAAAAAGTTTTATTTCACATCTTGTTAAAGATTGTAAAACTATGCCCAACAACTTTAAAGTCATTTCATTCGTAATCAGTGGTAAAGTATAAAAAAGAGGCTCTTGTACATATTAATTGATCTCTTTCTTTGACAGGAATGTATATCTCTGCTCAAGTAATGACTTGTAATAAAGG